CCCGCCGTGCCGTGCTGCACTGACGCACTCGAGATCTCGCTGGCTGGGGACAGCGCGATTCAGAGCCTCAGAGGCTTCCCCGGGGAAGAGTGAGGGAAGCATGTGACCGAGTTACCCAGGGGGACCCCTGCCACTTCTGCCTCCCCAGTTCCAGGGGTGCCAGGACAAGGCGGCGAATCACCTTCACGTTTAGGAGAGGAAATAGATTTGTGGGAGGCAGGGGGACTCCCTGCCACTAGATGCCACTGAGGGCCACAGGCATAGGAGGACTCTGAAAAGAACTGGGCTTTTATATGGATAGCAAGACCATCCACAGTTCTGTTCCTGGGTCGCACAGAAGGGAGGCAGCTCTCATACTTCAGCCTCTGAGCAATAGGGGTAGAGAATAAGCTGGAGAACATCTTATTGCCTCTCTAGAAAACCCTGGCATGTCCACAACTTGAATACTGCCTACTGATGTGGTTGCCTCCTCTCCAAAAAGATAAATTGGCATTGGGAAAATGCTTAGGGGTTTGGAACAGGTCCCATATGCAGAGAGATTAAAAAGACTGGGACTTTTCAGCTTAGAAAAGAGGAGACTAAGAGGGGATATGAGAGAGGTCTGTAAAATCGTGGAAAAAGTGAGCAAGGAAAAGTTATTTACGTATTCCCACAATATAAGAACTAGGGGCCACCAAATGAAATGAATAGGCAGCAGGTTTAAAACAAACAAAAGGAAGTTTTTCTTCACTCTGCATAGTCAACCTGTGGAACTCCTTGCCAGAGGATGTCGTGAAGACCAGGACTTTAACAGGGTTCAAAAAAGAGCTAGATAGATTCACGGAGGTTAGGTCCATCAATGGCTATTAGCCAGGATGGGTAGGAATGGTGTCCCCAGCCTCTGTTTGTCTGGAAATGGGTGATGGGAGGGATCACATGAGGATTACCTGTTGTGTCCCCTCCCTCTGGGGCACCTGGCACTGGTCACTGTCGGCCGACAGGACACTGGGCTGGATGGACCTTTGGTCTGACCCAGTCTGGCCGTTCTTATGTGCAATTCCCATGTGGGCTGACTGTTGTCCACTACTTACCCCTTCCTCAGCTGCAGCTGGTCAGGCCCTTGTTGGAGCCTGGGTACTGGCCTCGGTGGGCCGCTGCCCTGAGCCAGCACAGGGATGCCTCTGGGGGTGGGTTTGTGGGGGGGTAGCCCTGAGCTGCGGCAGCCTCTTCATGTGCTTTGCCCGATGTCCCGGTACCACAGCTGAGGCCGGCGTGTGCACGAGCGCTTACCCGGATTTTCAACATCTCCGACCAGGACAACAACCAGATCCTGAGCGACGAGGAGCTCAACTACTTCCAGGTACGGGTCGCTTAGCGCCTGCGTTCCCCGAGGGCTCCGCTCTCCGGCTGTGACACCCCCGGCCACTGTGCTCGTCCCCCCAGGGCGTTCCCTCCCCTCCTGCCTCTTGCCTAGCTCCAGGGGGAAGAGACGGCCCCTGGGCGCCTGCTTGGAGTCCTTCTCCTTGGTGTCAGACGGGCCTGCCCGCAGCGAGCGTTCTGGCTCCCGGAGCTCTGTGTGTCTGTCTGTCTGGAGGGGTGTTCCAGGCCCACACGCTCTGAGCCGGGCCCTCCGGACGGGTTTGCTCGGCGGTGTGTAAAGCAGGGTGCCCCTAGAGGAATGGGGAGTCCTGCTGCATTGGCCAGCTGAGGAACGGGGGACTCCTGAGGCCGAGTGGAGTTTAGGTTCCAGAAGGTTCCCAGTGATTCAGGGGATGGTTGTGGCAGGGTGTGCTTAGGTGCTGCGATAGCAAGAGTTTGGCCGCTGCGGGGAATCCGGCGTCCAGCGGGAGTTGAGGAATGGAGGAACGAAGGGGTCGTGGGGACGGTCTGAGGTGGGTCTAATTCCGTCCCTCCCTTCTGGGGAGCGGGAAAGAGACAGGGAGGCCGCCCGCTAGCCGGGGGCGCTCCTGACCTTCCCTTGTCTCTCGGGGGTAGAAGTCCTGTTTCGGGAATCCCCTGGCGCCCCAGGCCCTGGAGGACGTGAAGATGGTGGTGTGGAAGAACACCACGGACGGGGTGCAGGACAACGGCCTGACGTTAAACGGTAACGAGCGGGAGCTCTTGTGTCGGTGGCATTGTCTCCCGGCTCCTTCCCCCTCCCCTGGCGCCTGGCAGGCGGGCGCCCCGCTGGGCTAGAGGAGGGAGGCCTTCTTTGTTCTGCCCTGAGCGGTGCTGGCCGGTCCATGTCGCCATGGCCCCCGCTGGGCGCTGAGCCCCGCTCCTTCTGCTCGCAGGCTTCCTCTTCCTCAACACCCTCTTCATCCAGAGGGGGCGGCACGAGACCACCTGGACCATCCTGCGCCGCTTCGGCTACTCCGACGAGCTGGAGCTGACGGACGACTATCTCTACCCGGCGTGAGTACAGGGCTCGTCGGGAGGGGGATCCCCTCTGGAGCCTCCCTTTGCGGCCACCATATCCCGTCTCGCGGCGGGACGGGATCGCGTCCCTCCTCACAGGCCTTCTCCAGCTGGGCGGGGGCTCCGAGCAGCGAGGTTCTCCCGGGCTGCCAGTGGGGCTGCATCACTCTCGCCCCGTTGGCCGGGCAGAGAGGAGCTAAGTTCCAACCTGCCGACAGCTCCCAGGCCAGTTCTCCGACCACGCTCCTCTCCCCTCCCTGGCCTGTCTGGGTCTCAGGCTGTGGGGCCGACAGACGACTAACCCCAGGGACGCTGGTGATTCTGCTGGTGCCCACAGAAGGGAGCGTCTGGGCCAGAGGCTTCTCTGCAGAAAGCTACAGGG